AGTTCAGAGGTTTCATATGTTTTATTTCTTTACAATTATCATATCGTGAGAAACATCAGGCAGTCCTCATGCAGTTAGTTATTACTAAAATACTGATTTATTTTTATTTTTTTAACTTTAAATCTGATTGATTGAACATGCATCAGAATTTGAGGGTTAACGTTGTCCAAGTGTCCCTCAGTGTCTCACATGAGGCAAGTTAACTGATTCATGAGTACATGAGTGAATCAAAAACACAGCATTTACTTTATTCCCCTCAGAATCAGTGTGTGAGCCGATAAACCGTCACCAGTCACCGTGTTTCTCCACATTTCCTGCAGAGCCACTAGATGGCAGTAACGTCTCGCTGCAGGAACAGCCTCCGGAGCAGCGGCTGCCTCCCCTCCTCCCTCCCTGGAGTTCTGCCTAGCAACAGAAGGCCGGAGCATCCTGTGCAATTTGTCACCGAGTCGTTAGCGTGCGGTGAAATGAGCGTTTGTCGGCCTGCAGACGCTCGAGCTGTTGGCTGGTCTGTGTCAACGCTGCAGAGCCTTAAACGTGTTGAGGCCGTTTTTGTAAAAAAAAATTATTTTTTTAAAATAAATAAAAAATGCTATTTTTGAGGTAATTTGGGGACAAGAACACAAATAAATGCACCAGTTGCTTTGATGCACACGTTTCAATACCTTAAAGTCTGTTCTCTGTTGTTTGGTTGCCAGTTTGTGTCTCTTTGTGGTCATTTTGCATCTCTATGAGGTTGTTTTGTGTCTTTTCGTGGTCATTTTGCAGCTCTTTGTGGTTGTTTTTTTGTCTTTCTGCTACTTTTCTGTCTTTTACAGTTTGTTTTAGGTCCATTTGTGGTCATTTCACATCTTTTTGTGTTAGTATTGTGTCTCTTCATGGTCCTTTGAAGTCCTTTTGTGTCTCTTTGTGGTTATTTTGCATCCCTTTATGGTTGTTTTCAGTCACTCCCTGGTCATTTTGTGGTTGTTCTGTGTTCCTTTCTAGTTGTTTCATATCTCTTTGTGGTTGTTTTCTGTCTTTCTTTGGTCGTTTTCTGTTTATTGTTGTCTCTTTGTGTCACTTTGTGGGTGTTGTGTGTTGTTTGTGGTTGTTTTATGTCTTTTCATGGTCATTTGTGTCCTTCTGTCTTCGATTTTAGTCGTTTGCAAGCAGTCTGAGCCAAATTGTTGCAGTTCTGTATTCCTTTGTGATTGTTTTGTAGCACCTTATGGTCATTTTGCATCTCTTTATGGTTATTGGTCTCTTTGTGGACATTTTCTGTCTTTTGTGGTCATTTTGTGTGTCTTTGTGGTTGTTTTGGGTCTCTTTGTGATCATTTTGCATCTTTCTGTGTTTTTTTTTTTTTCCGGTCTTTTGCAGTTGGTTTAAGTGTCTTTGCTGATGTTTTGTGTCTGTTTGTGGTTGTCTTCTTGTGTCTTGTGTTGTCTCTTTGTGGTCATTTTGTGTCTCTGTATGGCTACTTTCTGTCTCCCTGTAGTTGTTTAATGTCTTTTGTGGCGGTTTTGCGACTGTTTCATGTCAGTTTCTAGGTGTTTTGCATCTGTTTGTAGTGATTTTGAGTATCTTTGTGGTGATTTTGCATCTCTTTGTGTTCGTTTTGCACCTCTCTTTGCATCTTTCTGTCTTTCGCGGGCATTTTGTGTCTCTTTATGTTTGATTTTGGTCTTTTACAAGCAGCTTGAGTCTCTTTGCTGCCATTTTTGTATCCCTTTGTGGTCATTTTATTTATTTTTATGCTTGATTTCTGTCTGTTTGTGGTCATTTTCTGTTGTTTACAGTCATTTTATGTGTCTTCGTGATAATTTTGTGTCTGTCTTTGTCTGTTTTCTGTCTTATGTTTGTTTTTTGTGTCTCTTTGAGGTTGTTTTGTGCTTACATGTGCTTTCTCTGTGTTCATTTGTGGTCCCTTTGTATCTCTGTGTGCTTTTTTGTCTCTCTGGGGCTGTATTCTGCCTTTTGCGTTTATTTTGCTCTGACTTGTCATTGTTTTGTGTCTGTTTCTGTGCCATTTTGAGTCTCTTTATAGATTGTGTCTTTTTGTGGTCGGTTTCTTAGTTGTTGATTTCTGAGTGAACTCTTGGTTTTCCTTTCCTGGTTCGGTGCTCATCGGAGCCATTTTATCAAATCCTGTGTCATAATTCTGCCAAGCTGACACTAATAAATTATAGAGAGATAAATCCACCCCTGAGGATAAACGCTCACATTTCTTTTTGTTTCTGTAAGTTTGATTTATTAAAGCCTTCTTGCTCCTGATACCACCAAGATTGCAAAATGAGCAAATGCGTGCAGAATGTGGAGAAGTTATCTAATTGAAATTAATCTGAATCTGCATTTTTATGGTAATTATCCGTCGGTGTACCTGCGATAGATTAAGTGTGATGGGAATTTAAGCACTGAAGCGACATTATGCAGAATTAAAGCATTTCCAGAGGGTAATTATAACATGTTTGTCATTTTGCCTTTTCTCATCTTAATATGGTTTCATTTGGCAGATTGTTGAAGCAGGTTGTGAACTGAGATCAGTTTAAACATGACTGACGTGACTCTTCCTCCGTCTGTTGAGAGGTTGTCCTTGGAGGCGGATGGAGCTGAGCGGCGAGTCCGAGTCTGAGTCCGAGTCCGAGTCCACGACCACCGTCAGCGCCAACAAGCTGCAGCCCTGCGTCCTTGAGCTCTGCAAGTTCTTCTCCACATGCCTCTGCAGACCCTTCAGCCACAAGACACGCATGAAAAGGTTTTTCACAGCTCAAAATTACGTTTTTTACATTGAGATGATACCGGTGCAGGTCTGTTTTAAATACATGACGTGGAAAGAGAAGGAAAAAGATTTTTTTTCAAAGTACAAATTTGCATTAAGAGAGGGTGATTATAATATGGAAAATTAATTTTCTCTCATGGCTGTTTTCTATCTCTGGTAATTTTCTGTCATTTGCAGTCAGTTTGTGTGACTTTGCTGATGTTTTGTGTCTTTTTGAAGTTCTTTTGTGTCTCTTTGTAGTCATTTTCGGCCATTTTTTAAATATATATTTATATACGTTTCTTGTATGTATAGTACAAGTCAAAGGTTTGGACACACCTTCTCATTCAATGGGTTTTATTTATTTTAATTATTTTCTACATTGTTGATTAATACTGAAGACATCGAAACTATAAAAGAACACATATGGTATTATGTTGTAAACAAAAACGTGTTAAACAAACCAGAATATGTTTAATATTTCAGATTATTCAACGCAGCCCCCTTCTGCTGTGATGACAGCATCGCACACTCTTGGCATTCTATCAGTCAGTTTCATGAGGCTGTCTCCTGGATGGTTTTTCAACAATCTTGAAGGACTTCCCACAGGGGCTGAGCACTTGTTGGCTGCTTCTCCTTCACTCTGCGATCCAACTCATCCCAAACCATCTCAGTTGGGTTCAGGTTGGGTGATTGTGGAGGTCAGGTCATCTGACACAGCGCTCCATCCTTTTCCTTCTTAGCCACATAGCCCTTACACAGCCTGGAGGTGTGTTTGGGGTCATGGTCTTGTTGAAAAACTAATGATGGTCCCAGTAAGCACAAACCAGATGGGATGGGATGGTGCTGCAGTGTGCTGTGGTAGCCATGCTGGTTAGGTGTGCCTTGAATTTTGAATAAATCACCAATAGTGTCACCAGCAAAGCACCATCACACCTCCTCCTCCAGGCTTCACAGTGGGAACCACACGGTCGGAAACCATTGCTGGCCTTCTCTGCATCTCACAAAGACACACTGGTTGAAACCAAAAATCTCAAATTTGGACCTGCCATACAAAAGTGCAGGTTTTCACTGGTCTAATGTCCATTCCTTGTGTTTCTTGGCCCAAACCATCCTCTTCCTCTTGTTGTTCATCCTCTTTTAGTAGCTTCTTTGCAGCAATTCGACCAGAAGTAACTCTTGGTCTTCCTTTCCTGGGGCTTCTCCTCCAGTTTCATCATAGCATTTGATGGTTTTTGTGACTGCGCTTGAGGATACAATCAAAGTTCTGGAAATTTTCCTCACTGACTAAACTTCATGTCTTAAAGTAACGATGGACTGTCATTTCTGTTTACTGACTTGAGTGGTTCTTTCCATACTATGGATTACAACAGTAGTCAAATAGGACTTTCCTCTGCGTGCTAACCCTACCTCTGCACAACTCAACTGATGGTCTCAAACACATTAAGGAAGCAAGTAATTCCACAAACTGACTCTTGACAAGACACACATGTTAATTCAAAACCATCCAGGAGACGAGTTCATGAAGCTGATTGAGAGAAAGCCAAGAGTGTGAAAAGCTGTCTTCACAGCAGGAGAGGGCGACTTTGAAGAATCTGAAATATGAAACATGTTCTGGTTTGTTTCACACTTTTTTATTTTCTACATAATTCCATATGTGTTCTTTCATAGTTTTGATGTCTTCAGTATTAATCTACACTGTAGAAAAAAATTAAAACAAACCAAAACTATTGAATGAGGTGTGTTCAAACTTTTGACGAGTACTGTATGTGTAATTTTTACTCAAAATCTTACAATAAGCCTCTGTTGATTCTATTTGTTTTTACGTTATCTTTGTCGTTCTCTGTCTACAACCACAAAAGACAGAAAGCTACAGCAGAGAGATAGAAGAGACACAAAATGTCTACAAAGAGATGCTAAAGTATACATATATATAGTGTAATGTACAACCTATGTTATCCTTTAAAAAAGAAAACGTTGCCTTTATCCCCAATTTAGCAAAGTTCTAAGCTACGTTTAACCCCCAAATCATCCATGGGCATGTCCTTTTAAGCCTTTGGGATGATTCAAACATCCAGAAATGCTCTAGTTGATAACATTTCTGCAGCTTTAAACCTGCCTGCTGAAAGCCTTTTGAGACTCTTTGAACCTGTTTTTACTCTTAATCCTGAGCTGGTTCTGTTGATTTAAGGCTCAGGTATTTCTCATCCACAGATATTGTGACGACAGCCACCTGTGGTATGAAAAACACACTCTGGAGGTGTGTCGGCGGGTCAGGAGAGTCTCCTTCTCCAGAAGTAAGTGAACTGTGGAGGAAGGTGCGATTGATCGATAGCAGCGAGGCGGCGAACTCAGCGGCTCTGAAAGTGCTGTCAGAGTTAATCCACATCAGCCGCCAGCTCTGCTACACCGGAGTTTCTCTTTTTTTATTTTGAAGTGAAGCGCTATTGAGAATCCACAGATCAATGGGTTTCATCAGAGCTTTAACCTCAGACTCTAAGAGGTTTGGGCACCACTGGAAATATGACACATTTTGTTGATTTTTGAAGTGAAAAGAAAAAAATAGAACCTATGTGTTGACTTCACCAATCAGCAAACATGAGATTGACTCTGCGAGGCTAAAACATTTCCTCACTGCTGCCCTGAGCTAATGTTAAATGAGCGTCTATAATCTATACAGTTTATTAGATACACTTATGTCTATAGATTTAATATGGACGTTTGTCTAGAGTGCAAAACAACGTGACAACATGACAAAAAATAAAACATTACAAGTATGAAACAAACACATTTTCAGATTTCCAAAACGTAAGAACTGAAAGACTTTCTCCGGTTTATGGTACCTTGTATTTCCCATGAATATGTTTATCTTTAGGTCATGCTGACTTTCAGCTTATAAAGATTCATAGACATTCATCACATAACTGCATGTAAACAGCATTTAGCAGAAGATTCAGCACCAGTCCTACAGCTTTACAAAGACAGCAGAGTTTTACATTCATTATTTTAAAGACTCCCTTTAATGAAAATACTTTTTTTTTTTACCTTGTTTTTTTTTTTAAATGCTAAAAGAAGTACTAAAACAGCAGTCAATGTCAAGACTGAGTGTTTCCACCTTTAGACTCCTGATGACAGTCTTAAAAACACGGATTCAGACTTCCAGGGATTCCTAACAAACCTAAAGCTCTTGTCAACTTGTAGGGTGGGACTTCTTTGTGTCATTACCCTTCTTCAGAATCTGACTCTCTCTACATTTGCATTCGTGCATACTGGTTTGTTTGTGAGGCTGATTTTCACTGGAGGCAGAGAGACAGCAGGATGTCCTATAAAGACTGCAGTTTGTTCCTTGATGTTCTATAGTCCTGTTCAGGAACCTTGTCGTAAAGCTCCAGAAGAACACTGTCTAAATGTAGTGTTAGAGGATAGGATGTACTGCGGCTCCACAAGCTCCAACAGATGGAGAAAACCTGGATTCTCTGCAAGATGTCAGAAAATGTATCGTAGATCAGCTGTAGTACCTGGTTGTTCCACCAGGTGGAGCTTCTTACAGTTTAACACTGTAGAGACCAGAGGAGGCGTCACTCAGACTACAGACAGTTCATGCATTGTGGGAGTTTAGCTGGCAACAGACACCATGACAAAGACTTATGTCGAGGTTAATGAGCTCCAACCAGAGATCACATATTGAAGAAGGACTGGGATTGAGTAGGATATTTTTGCAGATGTAACAGAACAACACCTCCCTCAGTCCCACACTACTTCACATCAAATTATATTTCTTATTATTGATTTGACTAGTGGGTTGCAAGCTGGTTAGCACCGTCGCCCCACGGCTCCCTGGTTCTCATCCCGGTTAGGACACCTGGGATCATTCTGTGTGGAGTTTGCATGTTCTCCCCGTGCAGTGTGGGTTCTCTCCGGGTTCTCCAGCTTCCTCCCACACAGTCCAAAAACATGTTGAGGTTAATTGGTGATTCTAAATTGTCCGTAGGTGTGAATGTGAGTGTGCTTGGTTGTCTGTCTCTAAGTGTAGCCCTGTGATAGACTGGTGACCTGTCCAGGGTGTCTCCTGCCCTCACCCTGAGTCAGCTGGGATAGACTCCAGCCCCCCACGACCCTAGTGAGGATCAAGCGGTGTATAGATGATGGATGGATGGTTGTTTTGACTGGAGGCCTGTAGCTGCAGAAATTACATAAAAAAATACCAAGTAGGACTTTGAGAGATGCCCAGTTTTTATTTTCAAAACTCCACAAACAGGGTTGTGAGTGTTTGGGGGGTAATTGGCTCTTCATCCTTCACCTGCACTGATGGCGTTGTGTTGGCCGAGTGTCCGGCAGCCGGCTTCAGGCCTCATTAGAGCTGCAGCTCTGCAGGAGTCTAATGGGCTCCAGAGGTCGCAGAAAGAGCCGCCATCGCTCGCAGCATCTCCCACGGCGATGATACCACCGGCCGGCCAGAGGCAGGACTCAACACGCTGTCATACCAGGAACCCTCTCTGGCTCTAATTAGCCCTCACCGGGTATTTTTAGACTCCTGCAGGAGGAGGAGGGTTTGACAACTTAGCTTTTACATGATTAACCGATTGTTAAAATACAGTTTGTTTTCTGTCAGGTGATTAATTGATGGACCACCTGTCTCAGCTCAGCAGGCTTCATGTAAATGATCTCAGATTATGTCCAACATTATGCAGAAATATGGTTTGAAGAGAGCGAGCATCATTAAAGGAGCTTCAGGGTGATGAAAACATGCACAAGATAAAAGCTCAACAAGGTGCCCCGGTCAAAGAAAATAAAGGACAAAGTGAATGCAAAGACATAAAGAGAGGAAACATTCCTTCCTTCAAGCTTTTTACATTCACAGCTCCTCCTTTTGTGCCCACCGACCAAAGGAACAAAGGCTCTGTTTTAAAGTATGTAACCCTGGTGAGGTGGTTAGTCAGTGAAATGCCAACAAAACCTGAAGAGTCAATCATGTTTCTGTGGTTACCTGCAGCGTAACCCTCTCAACATTTTTAGCTTGAATTTCCCTGCTATGTAAAGTCATGCACCTCGACGGAAACAACAACCATGAAGAAGGAGAAAGAAATCAGAAATGTCTTATGTGAAGAATGACAGTTACATTGACATAAATTTAAAAAAAAAACAAAAACAAAAAAAAAGTTTAATTTTGTTATTTGCTCTACAAAGGTAAACAAAAATGGAATCAGCATGTACAATATGTCTCTGGGTGTTCTTGCTCATTTTTTTCTAATTTTTTACTGTAATATAAATTAGAGAAAACTGAGAAATATCAAATAATTTTTAAAAAGTTGAATTTCTTTGATTATTTAATTTAGAAAAAATGAAAAAATCTAGAATCAACATTACAAAAAACACAAGTGCTGAAGTGCAATACTGGACAAAATAGAGACTCCACATGCTACAAATATTGAGCTACTTTTGAAAAACCTCCATAGTTTTCTCTCTACTCTGCTCATCAGCTGTAGAAAGATCTTTCACCATGCTGAATGTATCTTCCAATTACTTGCTCCTCTGTTCACTGTTTTTGAGCCATGCTGCTTTTTAAAAAAATCAATCAGCTATTTTGTAGTTTTATTTTCCTCTCTGCCTGCAGTTCACTTGAAAACTGTCTGATTTTTCGTCACATCACTCTTGGTCACATCTGAATGAATCATTGCTTCTTTGTTGCGATGAGGGGCTTAGAATTTTTAGTTTTTCACAGAATCTTGTTAGAACATGTGGTTTATTTTTGGTGTGTTTGGCTATTAGAGAATATTACATTTCTAAGCTTACGTTTCGTTCATTTTCCCAACAGAACTGCACGTCCAACATTAGTTCAAGGACCATTAGAAAGTTTAGAATCTGATGATCCTTTCTGTTTTTACAGCTTTGGGGTCTGATAAATGGTTGTTTAAAGGTTTCTTTCAAGATAAAATGCTTTTCAAACCTGTCTTTGGGGTTCAGACAGTTAATACAGCCTGAACATCTCAAGCCTTCAAGTGATCCTGCAGGTGCATATTTCTGAAAACACTCAAGAGTGTGTCAGGAAACAGCTGGCAGCTGCTGGCTTTATTTTCTCTTAAATACACTTAAATACATCCATTTAGCAGCCACTCACGAAGTTTGGAGTCACCAGAGGGGGGACATTTGCAGCAGCTGATGTCAGAAAACTGCAGCAGTCAGTTATTTAAAGTTTAATCAAAGTGACAAACTGCTTGAAATGACTTCCCAGTGTCAGTTACCTGGTTGTAACCTCCCTCTGCAATCCTCCCTCCACAGATCTGAAACAGAGATGCCTGACAAAGATGTGCAATAAACTGTGACCAGAAGGAAACAAAGAGCTGTTCATCATCACAGGCAGCGACTGAAACCGCAAACCACAGCTGAGTAAACTCCTGGAGCATCTGGACAATGTGTGGAAACACAGTCTGAGGGTCGAGCTGTTTGGAAACTGATCACCCTGAAAATCTTCACACAAACTTTTGGACGTTCATGGCTGTAATTTACACAGTGATTTTAGAAGATTAAAAACATGACTTGTATTGGACACCAAAATCTGGAATCCTAAAAACCAAAACGGGACTATTTATCTTTAAATCAAACAGTGGCTTCAAGGTCCAGAAACAGTTTGGAGTTTGGGGGGAAAAAAATGTAGAATTTTTGTGTTTTTCTAAAGACATGGATTTAGGTATTTCTTGTGTCAGCTTAATAAACATCTGAAAAATGTCCCTCTCTCTGATGCTCCATTTCAATCAACATGTAAATGCACACAGTGGGGTTAAAATAGGAAACAAATCTATTGTAAAAAAAAAAAAAAGTGTTTTCTTTTTTAAGGACACTTTAATGAATTTTCTTCTTTAGAAACAAAAGAAACTCTTCTAAAGCCACCTGCCCCTCAAAAAGTAAACTAGTAGACCAATGAAAATATGTTATATTTACAAAAAAAAGATTACATATCGACACAAAATATCATACAGCTCAGGACGTGTTATGGAAAAGTCCAATTCAAAATGTGTCCACGTTTTTCTAAAATGATGATTTGTTTAAATCTGTAGAGATGATCCCAACATTTGAATCTTTGATGAAAGCTTTTGACTAAAAAAAAGAAGAAATTCTAATTTTTGCGGACCGCTGTTGCTGTTCCTGTAATTGAACCCACTTCCTGTTTCTAACATGACATAACATCTGTAACTACCCCCCACACATGCACCTGCCCCACACAATGCCCCACTATCTGCCCCCCTGTTATTAAAGCCCCAGCTCCTCCCTGCAGGCGTCACCCAGCTGAACTCGTGGAGGATCAGATAAGACCGGGTCGACCTGCGGGTCACAGATCCAGCCTCCGCCGGGACAAAGACCGGTCTGTGGGTCCCTCAGTCAGAACCCCACCTAGCTAGAGCCTCAAATACCTGCACAGGAACCAAACCATGATAAGCTGCAGCGCTGGTGTCACCTGATACGAGCTGAACCGAACCCCTCAGGTAGGACTGATCAACACAGCTGAGGGCTCATTCTGTTGGAAAACAAGACCACAAAAGCACTAAAAAGGCTTCATCAATGACACAGAGTCTAACGTTTATCTTCATTCAATGAGGAAAACATCACGTCTGCAGCTGACACCCCACAAATAAGGTAAGATTATCTTCACTGTTTACTTCTTTGTGTTTTCTTTGGTTCACTGATTCCAACAACTTGCTCCTCTGCTCACTGTTCCTGAGCCATGCTGCATTTATTGTACTGATCCAGTAGGTTTGATTTTCCTCCCTGCTCTGTGGAAACACTGCCTGCAGCTCAACCTGAAAACTGAATTTTCGACTGCTGGCTGCAGCTTATTTTGTTGATGTGTTTTTAAATGAGAGATTTAGAATAACATGATTTGGATCAAACAGCACAAGTTTCAGATTATTTTTGGCTGTTTTTCCAGAACTGCAAGTCTTAGGATACTTTCACAGATCGTCGGAAAGTTAAAGATCCTCCAGCTTTACAGTTTCTTTCTCTGATAAATGGTGGAATTTGGGGTAAACCTAATTGAAGTTTTGCATCATTTAAAAAAACAAACAAAAAAAAACGTGCCTTTTTAGGCCCACCGGCCAGTTTTGACTTGAGATCATTGGGAGTCCTGTTCTAGAGGGTGTAGACTGGGAACCACTTCATCATATTGAATTGGTTATTAGGCCCCAGGGTTGTCCAAATTATTTGTACGATGATTGAATGAAACCCTTGTCTATTTACAAAATGAAATTCATCAGTGATGCTGCTTTGAATGCAATGTGGGTGCAGTCTACGGCTCCACTTATGTCTGGGAATCCAGCGATGGCGTGAAGTTCCCGTTTGATTTGGGCTCATCGGTGATGACTGTAAGGGAACTGGATGCTGGGCCAGGGGAATTATGGCATCCAACACTGCCAGCATGATCCTGTTCAGTGATGACTGGAATTGCTGCATATTACAAAACCTCACGCTAAAATGTGCCGATGGTCAAAATCCCTGAATGCTTTCTGTTTGTACTTTCACTATTCTACCGCTAGATTATGTGCGTACACATGGTCAGAGTTGTGCGTATATTTACGCACATTCCTAAGTATAAGTACAAGTTGATAAATTCCATACTTGCGTAGGAATGTTCGTACGCACTCATTAAGCACACATCTATGTGTACGCACTGATGATAAATGAGGCCCCTGCAATTTAAAATATTACTCAAAGCTAAAACCCCAATTGAAGACCTACATTTACTGCAGTTTTCTATATTTCATAATGAATTCATTTGATATACTCTCAAAAATAACATTAGGACAGCTCCTCTGCTGTAGAAATCTTTTTATTTTTCTGATTTGTGATCACGGGGCTGCAAGGTGGCGCAGTTTGTAGCACCGTTGCCTCGCAGGAAGAAGGTCGCTGGGCTCTTTCTGCGTGGAGTTTACATGTTCTCCCCGTGCAGCGTGGGTTCTCTCCGGGTTCTCCAGCTTCCTCCCACACAGTCCAAAAACATGTTGAGGTTAATTGGTGATTCTAAATTGTCCGTAGGTGTGAATGTGAGTGTGCTTGGTTGTCTGTCTCTAAGTGTAGCCCTGTGATAGACTGGCGACCTGTCCAGGGTGTCCCCTGCCTTCACCCTGAGTCAGCTGGGATAGACTCCAGCCCCCCATGACCCCAGTTAGGATTAAGTGGTGTATTCATAATGGATGGATGGATTTCTGATCACCTGTCTCGCCCATGTTCCCAGTGAATTCCTTTTTTGCAGCGTGAGTTGCTAGGCTACTAAAAGAAATTAAAACTTTATTATATATAAGCAGCTGCTGAGCCTGGAACCTCCAGGACGAGCAGGTCATCCACCGTGACGATTTCACAGCAGCAGCAGCTTGTTAGCCTCCTGCTTTATCCATATTCTTGGAGTTGTTATTTTATTATTACAGCTTCCACCTCAAACCTGCTCTTTTGATAAATCTAAGTGGCTCCTTGTTGTCATGCGGATCCATTAACCTGCACAGTCGACATTAAAGATTAAATATAAGAGCATTAATGAGCCGCCGACCTCCCCGGGGGTTCCATAACTTCCCTGTTCTCAGTGAAATGTGCTCAGCGCCTGAACAACCGTAATGACACACTTGTTGGCCTCGTGGAGCCACAGGTGGGCCGAGCTGTTTGAAGCCATTAAAGAGGCTGAGCGGAGGTCGTCCGTCTGGTTCGCTCCAGTAATCAGAGCTGGAGTTTATAGAGCTGCAGAGGAGATGTCAGAATAAATCCAGCTCTCTGTTCTATGTGGGGAAAATCAGCTTGTTAGTGGCATGTTGTGTCTTTTTTTGTTGTTGTTTTTTTTTGTCTTGATTGCATCATTTTGCGTCTCTTTGGGACAGTTGTGTCTCCTTTTGTGTCTCAGTTTTGTTTCGTCTCATTTAGTCATTTCTTGTTTTTGTCATACTGCGTCTCATTTTCTTTTCCATTTGTCATTTGGTGTCACATTCATGTCGATTTGTGTCCCATTTTGGTCATTTTATGCATCTTTGGTACAGTTTTGTCTTTTTGTGTTAGCTTTGTGTCTCACGTCTCATTTTGTGTCTTGTTTGTGTCTATTTGCTTCTCCTGTTTGTCATTGTGTGCATCTTCTTAGTTGTTCACCTTTTTTTTGGCTTTTGGTATTTGAGTAATTTATGTGCCTTTATAGTTGTTTTGTCTCGATTGCATTTCAGTTTCTGTTCATTTTGTGTTTCTTTTTTCGTCAGTTTTTGTCTCTTTGTGGTCATCTAATGGCTCTTTATGTCCATTTTGCATGTCTTTCTTACAGGTTTGAGTCTCTTTGTGTTCGTCTTGCATCTCCTTGCAGCCGTTTTGCATCCAGCAGTCCTTTTGTGTGCCTAACAGGTTGTTATGTCTTGTTTGCATTGCATCAGCATCTTTTATTGATGAAGATTGAAGTGATTAATGTGAGTTTTTGCACCTAAATGAAGGCTAATTATGAAACAAAAGCTTTGTCCCTCTGAATGCAGGTACAAGTCATGTTTCTGAAATGGATTTTAGTGCTTTCAGCTGTTCAAAATGGTGAGTTTCCTGCCAACACATGAACCACTAACAACCCTTTACAAAGGATGTCTCATTATCTGCCATGTATAGACTCATCTGACCATCTTTGACATGATGGGTTGACCTTTTTTGTGTCATTATGTTAATATAACAAGATGTAAATTCGACATGTTGAACGTACTGCAACAGTCCTCCTGTTTGTCTTCAGTACTTTCTGCCAGATCCATCTTCTGTCCGGATCCAGAGACCAGCGACCAAAACTCAGATCTCATGACTGGTGAGAACGAATCATTATGTAATAAACTGTGAGCTTCAAAATGGTCACATGATTCTCAAACCATTTGTCAACAAGTCAGCTGATGAAGGTTTGTTGGTTCACTGGTTTGAAAAGCTGTAATTTATTGCTTTAATCTAAACTGATCTGTTTATCTGAAGGACGTATTATAGACACAAATGTCAGGGTAACGTAGGTGAGATGCTGTTTATAGCTGCAACTACTGATTATTTCCTGGATTCATTGATTAGTTATAGGTTCCACAAAGTGTCAGTAAATGGCAAAAAATAAATAAAAAATGTTTAAAAAATGTAATTAAAAAGGTGTTTCTCAAAGCCCAAGATGGCAAAACTCGTTTAGGACTGCTTTCTGACTTGGTTTTAGACTTGGTTCTAGGTTGGTTTCTGACTGGTTCAAGACTGCCTTTGGACTTGGAATGGTCTCATTTAGCACTGGTTTCTGACTAGTTAAGACTATTTAGAATTTAGTTTCAATCCGTTTTGGACTTGGTTTCTGACTTGGTTTTGC